CTATATTCTAAGAATTTGGGGGGGGGGGGGGTCAGTGGCAACTTTATAAGTTCGTCAAGGGGTCAACAACTCAAAAAGGTTTGGGAAACCCTGGTGTATGCTATTACTTAAAATCATTATATCAATCACAAATATAAATGTGAATACATATTATCTTAATAATGAACATTAATTATTTTATTCAAGTACAAATATCTGACAACTAATGTGTGATAGTTCCTATAACTGGTGTAACATGAGAGAAAGTTTGAAATTAAAGATGTAACAGACAGTCTTTCTGCAATATAATGAATGTTCAGCCACTGAACAGTCAAAATATTTATTTACACAGTTTCACAGGAAATTGGAAGGAATATAAAAGTAAATATGAAACTTGGGAAAAAAGGTAAGTAAATTACAGACTGAATAGAATACACAGAGAATATAAAAAAAAGGGTCATATAGTAAGTAATTTCAATGAATACTCATCCTTGCAGTTAGTTCTCCTTATGTTTAGAACTTCTAATAGTATTTGCCTACACCAGAACATTCCAGTCTTTTCAGAACATGTCAAGTGCTTTTTTAATTCTCAGCAGGTGTTTCAGCAATATTTAGTAATTAAGACATGTGTAGCCCTATCATTTGCAGTGCACACATAATATCTGTGACTCTGAATCAGTTTGTGAAGAGTGATTCAGTAATAACCACTATGTTCATTGATTTCTATAAGCAATATAAAATGCAAAGGGTCTGTGTGGAGACTTCAAAATGGAGTGCAAGTTGTGTAGTATATTAATTTCATGTGGTGGCAAATGGAAAGTATCATCATCTGCACAATAAGCTTGCTCAAGGCAACGATAACTTGTACTAAACTTAACCTAATACTGAAGGTGAGTGTGAGATTTTCAATTTCAGATGTTTAACAGACAGCAAAATGTTCAGGAGTTTTATAAAATAAGCTACGGGACATTAATGATAATTATGTTAAAGAGTTACAACATACACAGTGCAATCAATGAAATGATTACTATGAATATACACTTGTATTCAATTTTTACTGATAAGAAGACTTGTTTGCTTGATGAAGAAAGCACAAATACTATGAATTACAAAGAAAAACTTTTTTTTCTATAAAAATGTCTTAGACACGTAAGAAAAATGGAAGAGTGCATTGTTAGTTAGATTTCAAAGGTGAATGACAGTTTTCTAACATGTCTGATCACACTCAACAACATACAGACATTAGTTTAAAAGGACACCGAATCACAAAACAACTGGATTTACAACATATTGCTCTTAATATCAAGCATTTTCTTGCCTAGAAGATACACTGGTGATACAATAGATAAAATGTTGGAAGAGCTAGTGAATATACAGGAAATTGAAAAGAAAAATATTCACCTTCTAATAAGAAACAATGAATCAAATATTGTGAAAGGTTCTGGACTGTCACGTTTCCTCTACACATTACAACTCACGATAATGAAAAATCTCAAATTTCAGTCAGCTGTAACTGATCTATAAAAGTCGTTGGAAAGGTTCTTACATATTTTAAACACTCATCTCTACCAGAATCAAAATTGGTGGTTACAGAAAATGATTTAAATATTCTTCCAAATAAACTTGCACCAGGTGTGAAGACAAGACTGAGTTCAGCATATTATCTCCTAAAGGCTTTTGAAACAAAATACAGCAAGTTGCCTCTATACTGCTTACAATAATATCCCCAACCTCAACAATAATCAATGGTTCCTAATGAAGGCTTGTTTACAATTGCTACAAAGAACAAAAAATATTGATTTTGTAAACTCCATAATATTTCTATATATGTTGAAGGATAACACAAGCTACTTTGGAGTAGGATGAAATCATCTTTGAGAGAGGGAGTGGCTTGAAGATAGGTTAATTGGAATATAAAGTAATTCAGATCTCACTTTACCTGTTTTAAGGTAAGATTCTTCAAAGAACATCAAAACCAAAAAGTGAAACAAAAGTTTGATGGAGACAGCACTGATACTTACAGTTTCACAATAAAAGGTGAGTGAATGTCAAGAGATGACTCCCCCACTATTAGCACCACCAACTGTCAACAATTTATGACAGCAGACACAGGCTTCATTCTAAGACAACTAGTGAAATATATGCAGGCACCTATGACCTTAACAATATTGATCCAACAGTTCATAACAGAGAAGTTATGGTCACCAGTAAAATTAATTTGTGTAGATGTCTACCACTTATAAGGCTACAATCCTACAAATTATTGTGGTGGAACTGAACAAAAACACATTTGCTATACTATTTCAGTATGAATCTATCACACCCAGCCTCAAACCGTATAAGTTAGCAACTGTTTCCAGAAGCTTGCAATAGTTATGAGGTAAAGAGACACTGGTTACTTTCACAAAATGCAGTGGCAGCTACTGTTCTTGTATCACAATCTCAGATTCCTTATCTATAAGTTCTGAACAAGGATATTCAATTAATAAATTCTAATGAGAAAGTAAACATTATAACATGAGTTCATATATGATAAGCTTAATGTGATAAACTGATATGAGTGTAGTCTTACAAGAGCTAGCTGAAGGTACCTTTTAAGGAAGCAAAAATTGTATAAATGACAATGTTAGGTAATGTTCCCTTTCCTTCTTTTTGTTAGTAAATCCCTAATGATCTCATAAGATGATAATTGCATAATCTGCATTGTGGAAGGCAATAATTGACTAATTTAACTGACTAAGTACTTGTGCTTTTTAAGTTAAAAGCCAAAAGTCTATAAAAAAAAGTGTAAATGTGTCCTATTTCAAGGATTTTTTTTATCTCCTTCTCAATCAATATAAAAAAGCAAAATAGTCTATGTACACTGCTGGACAATTTCCAGCTACCAAGCCAACTCTGGATGATGCGAGCAAACAATCTACAGAAAGTGGAAATGTGGCTGATTTTAGGGGCTTTTCTTTACCCCACCTTCTAAGGCAAAAATTCTAAAATAAGAGAGTCCAATTATACTGACAGACAATTTCCAGTTACCACACCAAAGATTAAGGTAATCAAACCAGCCAACTCTGGGTGATGGATACTTATATATACATACACATACAAGCACCTAATGAATCACCTTTATAGTAAGATTCAAAATAAACACTTTTGATAAATATGTAATGATAAGAAAACAATGTTCCATGTTAAAGAAACTTAATATTCACTCTTAAGTTGCTATAAAACAGCTGCAGTTGCTGATGATTACCTATTTAGTAAAAGACTGATTAAAATAAACTCAACTGTATAGATCAAAATTAAAATCATTTCCTTGAATAGAAAAACCATAATATTTACTTACTATATTAAAATTATTTAAATACAGGTTAAGTAGTTAGCACACAGGATTACCTACAAATCTTGTATATTTTCAAAATGAGGTCCACAACTTGAGTGTATTCGAATAGTTGACTATTCTTCTTCCTGAAGAAGAATAGTCAACTATTCGAAAGTGCTAGAGTTTTGGGTCTCATTTTAAAAATATTACAAAATTATTTAAATTCACTTTAAATTTAAAAAGATTTGTTTGACATAATAAAGCAGGATCACGTGCCTTTGAAAATACCACAATTTAATGGATTTATGCAAACAAACAAATTATGTGTTACTGATAAGCTGAGTTTAAAAGTTTTGTACTCTTTACTAAAATATCAAACTTAGTAGTGTTATTGCTGTTCTGCATTATAAGTAATTAATTAAATGACCTTGTTCGTTATTTATAGCTTCCTAGTATATACAGTAGTTTTTAGGTTAAAATATTCATGGCAAATATAAAAAAAACTATTTGGCTGCAGAATAAGTATTAATATCAGGCCAAAAGACCAAATATGCTTGATAACGAATATCTGTTACAATGCTATTTACAATATCAATGATTAAAGTCAAAATAAAGTAATAATTATCAGTCTTTTGTCTGATGAACTAAAAGTGATAAAAATGATCAAATGAGGACTTGCCAACCAACCTTGTACAAGTAATCAAACATTAGAGTATCTGCTTTCAGGGGAGGTAAAAAACAAGCCAAAAACACAGTAATTTTAAATCTAGAAATCATTTAGCATGTGTGTATGGGCATGTTGGTGTGTCTCATTTATTTTTGTTTAGGGGTGGAGAGTGGGATAAGGAACAAAAAGCAACTTTGCCCATATTTCAATACCCAGTCCACAAAGTTCCACAATAGATATAGCATTACATTATTCATACGGAGATGAAAATTAATAGAAAAAACAAAGGCCTTCATATAGTGTGTGTACTTGTTTCAAGCACATGAAATTAAGAACTCAGATTCAGGGGGTTACCTAGGGCCAGAAAATCACAAGACACTTGTCCAAAGAAGTATTTTTGCAGAAATAATTGAAAGAAGCATATTTTGCAAACATGTCAGAACATATGAAACTTCCATAATTACATGAACCTACTGAATCTGGTTCTGATATATAACTCAAAGAAGATTACATATAAGGATCCAGACAGATAAGAAAGTCCATTAAGGTTGAAGTTCGTTTCATATTATACAGAAATGATGACTGTTCTTTCAATTCATTTTCATATGATCTTACACTTAATATACATCTTTGTCAATTTTATTTAACCCTTTCCACATGGGTCACAGGTCAAAGTCCACAATATCATGTTTGTTGACTCTCATTCAAAATTTTACTGAATTACTATTGTATGAATTTATGTCAT